TGGGGGCTTCCAAGAAAAGGCAGGCAGAACCTGTGTGCAGCTGATTGTAATCATTCTCTGCTGTGGGATGGTCTGTATGTCAAATGTGTTGCTGATTGGTCAATGAATAAATCACTGATTGGTCAGTGGCCAGGCAGGAAGTATAGGCGGGACTAACAGAGAGGAAAATTGAGAGAACAGGAAGCTGGAGAGGGAGACACTGCCAGCCGCCATCAGGATAAGGAAGATGTAAAGTACCGGTAAGCCACAAGCCACGTGGCAAGGTATAGATTAATAGAAATGGATTAATTTAAGCTGTAAGAACAGTTAACAAGAAGCCTGCCACGGCCATACAGTTTGAAACCAATATAAGTGTCTGTGTTTACTTGATCGGGTTTGAGCGGCTTGGGACTGGCGGGTGAGAGAGATTTGTCCTGACTGTGGGCCAGGCAGAAAAACTCTAGCTTTAGGAAATAGCGGTGCTTCCTACTTGCCTGTAACATGGCTCTGGGATGGTTAAGGCAGAGGGACATCTTCTGGGTCATCTAGACTGCTAGTTTGTACATGAAAGGCATCGTGTTAGTCCATTTTCCATACCGTGACAAGGTAGCTGAGATCAACACCAAGAATGAGCGAAGTTTACTTGTACTCCTAAGAAAATGACACCTGAAAATAGCTTTCTCTAAATCTGATCATTTTAGTAAGTGCTCAGTAATTTTCCAATTAATTTTTTTTCTTGTAGATAGGTATCATTTGAAAGCAGTGTGAGAGTTTCCAACCTTAACTTCTTGATTTTACTTTTTTATTTATTTGACTAGAAAAATCCCTTTGTGTCTGTATTGTTCTGTTTGAATTACTGCAATAAAATATGATAGATTGGGGCCTTTGACAGCTGAGATCCACATTTTCACAGCAGCATATGGCTGGTTTCTGGTAAGCTGCCCTCTGTGGCTTGGGGAAACAAGATCTCCTTTCCACGGTGTCCTCTTATAGCCATAGCCTTTCCTCCACCCACTTGAGAGGCTGCAAGAGACCTCTTATAACTCCATTTAACTGTCTATTGAAGGCTCTATCTCTACATAAAGTCATACAGAGGCATGGACCTTCAATACAAGATAAATTGTGGAGGGCATAACACAGCTCAAAGCAGTGTATAGGAGTAGTATAAGCACCATATTTTTTCTTATAGCTTTAAAATTTTGAATTAACATTACATGTGATAGTGTACATCTTGTCTTGAATATCTGAGAACTAGTGTGGACCAGATATGCATATGCAAATATGCAAGGATTAATATGGACAAAACTTATTTTTTTGAATTTGAATTATTTTGAATTTGTTTTGAATTATTCATTACCGTGGTTTATTTGAAAAGTTTGTGTATCTTTTAGACATGGACCAGATGTCCGATAAGCACCTGCTGATAGACAAGTGTTTGGTACTATTTGCATATTGAATGTCTCAAGTGTTTGTAAGTGGTTTACACTTAAAAACTACTCATTCATAGTTGCCTTTCATTCAGTAAAGACTTTCTGTGAGGCAATAAGTGAATTTTAATATAAGTGGCCTAATCTTTGGCATGTAAGACCATGTGTTATTACTGAACTAAGATTTTACATGTCATAATAAATATAAGTCTATTTCTTGCTGACTTAGGGAGGAGAAAAAATATTATAATAAAGGAGGCATCATAATTCCCATTCTGTTATGAAAGAAAACTCTTTCTTTTGGAAAACACGCCATTTAAAGACACAAAAAAAATTTTTTCTGAGCAGCTCTCACTCAAAATTATTCTTTTAAAATAATATTTGTATTAATGTTTTGAGGATTTCATACAACGTATCCAGGTCATATTGACCCTCAATTTCTCCTTGCAGTTTCACCCAGATGCGTCCTGTATCCTGTCAGGGTTTTCTAGAGGAGCAGAACTTGTAGAATTATTCTCTGTCTGTCTGTCTGTCTGTGTGTTTGCACTCCTGTGTGTGTGCGTGTGTGTGTATGATTTATTAGAATGGCTTGCAGGCTGTGGTCTCGCTAGTCAAGCAATTGTTGACTGTTGGGAAACATTATTTTAAGGTGTGTTGCATTTTTTTCCCTACTGCTTTTGTTAACAATTCGAAGATGTGTTTGATTAAATAAAATTAATGTATGAACAGGAGGCTGAGTCAGCAAGTAGCTGACAGGAAGTGGTAAGGAGGAACCATGTGTAGCACGGGTTTTTAAGTGGGGGCTGAGAGAAGGACTCTGGGTTTTTTGGAAGATGCCAGTAAAGGGAGAAGGTGAGCTACTAGTTATTTGGTCTCTCTAAGCAAGCAGGATTCCACCTAAACTGTTGAATTGTGAGTTCTTTAGATTTACGTAAGTTCCCTTAGTAGCTTTGAAAGAGTCAGTGCCTGAGGGAACAGAATCCTCTCAGGCTGCAGCCCTTGCTGCCGAAGCCATTGCTTAAGGGGCAGCCATTGAAGATAATAAAAAACAGCTAACAACAGCTGGCTATAGATGGAAGGTCCAAGAATCAAGCAGTTGTTCAGTCCATGAAGTTTGAGGTCTCAGCTCGCCTTCAGTTCTGGATTAGAAGTGGGTCTTCCCACTTGGCATGATTTAATTAAGAAAAAAGATCCCTCAAAGGTGGGTCCAATCATTTGGGTTTTAGTTAATTCTATGTAGATAAGCTGACAACCAAGAATAGCCATCACACATCCCTACCTCCTTACCACCCAAACTTTGTGTTTGGATTATTTTTTCTATTCTATTAAGAAATTTTCTATTCATTTTGCATATCAACCACAGATCCCCTTCCCTCCTTCCTCCTGCTCTCCAGTCTTCCCCCCATCCCAACCCCCATTCCCACCTTCTCCAAAGCAAGGCCTCCCATGGAGAGTCAGCAGAGCCTGATACACTCAGTTGAGGCAGGTCCAAGTCCCTCCCCGTGGAATAAGGCTGTGTAAGGTGTCCCACCATAGGTAGTGGGCTCCAAAAGGCCTGCTCATGCCCTAGGGATGGAGCCTGATCCCACTAACAGGGGGCCCCGGATTCTTTTAAAATAATCTACCCACTCCAATTTGTGCTTTTCACACACTCTAGGGTGTGGGGCCATCCTGGAGCTTGGGCAACCCATCAGGAGCTGCGTCCTTAAAGCTGTCAACTCTCACTGGCTCCTCCCTTAGAGGTGGGGCTTATGAGGTAGAATGCTGATTGGCTTGATCCTGTGCAGGCCCTATGCAGGCCACTACAGCTGGGGTGAGTTCATGAGTGCAGTGGTCCCACCATTCCAGATGACACTTTTCAGTAGGCTCCTCCCCAACCTCTGGCTCTTACAATCTTTCTCCCCTTTCTCTATGATTCCTCAGCCTTGGTGGTAGAGTATGATCTAGATGTCCCGTTTGTGCCTGGGAACTCCCCAGATACTTATTCTCTGCATGCTGACCAGTTGTGAGTCTCTGCATTCACCACTCTGTGAGCTGCACTGATCAACATTGTTCTGAAAGAGTTCATTCATTTAAAATTTATTGAAAAACAAGTTAACATATTTGAGATACACTGTAAGACTTCATTGACTATTCATTATCTTGTGACCTTTAAAAGGGTAAAATTAATGATATACATAATGAAAAACCCCTAAATATGTATTGCCATATTGCTATCCTTTTGACAAGAAATAGAAGACTTCATTCATTTACTTTCTGTCTCATAGAACCCCCAAAGGGCTCATTTTAGAAAAAGTAACTTATCAACCCAAATCTCATTGTCTATGGACCCACAGACAGGCTCAGCTGCCCTTGGGGTCAGTTTCTTGCTTTGGCCCTCAGCAACTGAGTAACCTCTGGTGAGTTCCTTAATGATTCCCAGATCTAGCTTCTCCATTCATAAAATTAGAATAGCATCAGTGTACTGTGTTTTTCCCCCTGATAATTATAAGCTAACCTACTTGAGATAATGAGAACAGATTCCAGCATGTAGAAGCTTTGCACATGAAACCAATTCATTTTTGTTATTGATAAACAACCACAGTACCACGTTTTTTAAGTTAGTGACTTAATTTGAAATATTTAACTAGTCTGTGGAAATGAATCTGAGAAAGTCTTAAATAGGTAAATTTCCAAACATTATTATTTATGTGCTTATTTAGTTTTGAGACAAGGTTTCAATGTGGCCCTGGCTGGTCTGGAATTCACAAGAGATCCACCTGTTTCTTTTCTCCCTAGTGCTGATATAAAGGGGTGCTCCATCACACCTGCCTGAGTCTGTGGAAAATGATATTTTGGTTGATGAGTTACTTTTTAAGAAATTATTTATTTTCTGTTTTGAGATCATAATATAATTACACCATTTCCCTTTTACATTTCCTCCCTCCAAACTTTCCCACTCACCCCTCCAAGCCCTCTTTCAAATTTTAAAATTCATGGCCTCTTCCTTCGTTAATCATTTATACATGCATACACATAAGGAAAACCTTCTCAGTCCATGTTCTTTGTATGTATGTTTTCAGGGCTAACCATTTAATACTGAATAACCTTGGTGTGCTCTTTCCTGGGTAAGACTATTTCTCCCACTCCCAGCCTTCTTTAGTTGCCAATAGATCCCTGTGTCGGGTTGAGGACTCTGTGAGCTTTCCCCATACACCTTAGCATGTCTATCGGTCAGTTCATGTTTAGACAGACATATTGGTTAATTACTTTTTTCTGTAAAAGAGCTTCCTATGGATTAGACATGGAATAGAAAAAAAAAGGTGAAATAATGAAATCTTCTAATTGAACTTTGGCTTCCTGTAATGTTTATCCAGTCCAGGACTTCAGGATCTGTTCTTACATGCACCAAAGACTACGAGACAACCTTTGTTATTAAGCTAAGAGAAATGGTTTCTTAGGAAGCACGACTTCATCACGCAGGAGTTTATGATTTATGTCCAGCTCGATGATTTAGAAAGGAAGAGGACCAGGCCTTTCCTGAGTCAGAAGTTTTCGTCAAACCGTTACAAAATAACAATTATGACTCCCCACTTCTTATTTTTATTGCTGGCTTGAAAAAGATGACTCTACAATGCTTACACCAGGAGGAGATTATTCTACAAATAAGGGCCCAGCATGACATTTATGAGAAAGCCAGGGTCCTCCTGCGCAAAGCTGATTGGTGCTCAGCCAGTGGGCTCTAGGATGCGCCAATAAAAGCTGCTTACTGCCCTGGGCTGGACAGACGCAGGGCAGGGGGTCATCTCTGCCTCTGGACCCTGGGAAAATGGTCACCGCCTCTCTGAACAGCACACATCTGTGGCCTGCAAAGAGAAGTCAGACCTTGAAGATGAAACATCTGCTTCCCCAGTTCCCTTCCATCCTGGCCATCTACTGCTTCTGTATGCTGCAGATTCCCTCCCCAGGTAAGGAGATTGTCATCACATCTGCCTGCCCTGAGTTCTATGGAAGACTGAGAGATCTCTACCCCTCAGGGTCATTCTCAACAGAGTTGAGTTTCCTTCCTTCACCTACCCTCACATCTACCCTCTTGTTTTCAGGCGTGGCACTTGTGTCTAACCAGAATGATGGACACAGTGAGACGCCACAGCCTTTTTGCACAGAGACTTTCTCCAGAGATACTGGGATTAAACAGCCCTTGCCCCAGGAGTGTCTTGACTTTGTGGTGGTGAAATCGAAGGGTGTGGTGTGGGTTGGGGGAAAACCCTGCTTAGCGGTCTGTTTCAGAGACGCTGGAGATGGGAACACAGGGAGGAAAGCAAGGCTTACAGTCCCCCCAAACTGAAAGCTGAAGAGCAGCTGAAAAGAGCAGAGCGCAACTATGTAGACAAAAGAAATTGTATGGAGTGAGGGGTAGGGGGTGAGAGGAGGTTCTCAGAGAGTTCTGGGGAACCGGAAGGCCAGCTTCCTCCAATCCCTCGGGCGCTGTCCGCGGTGCTGACCAGGTGCTGCACCTCTTCAATTTCTGAGAAGCAGTTTGTAAGGGAGCCAGAAGTGGGGAGGGGGTCGCAAGTCCTCGGCCATGATCAGATCACCATCTCCAGGCAGTTTGTCATAGAGTGCAGGAAAGTGGACCACTGATGAAAATCTGTGATTTGAAACAAGGACTATTACAAAAATGTGGATTTTTCCATTAGAATTAAATTTGATTTAGAGGCATAGAGAAACTTGGGAAAATATAGTGCACTTGTTTTGTCCTCAAGAGTAATTGCAACATCTGGGCATTGTGAGGAACGATATCAGCTTAACATCTCTGGAGTGCTGGGTCTCCTCTGTGGCTTCCCAGTGGGCTTCTAGATTCTGCTCGGCTGCTTTGTCTAACCCCAGCTCACAGCCAGCCCCAGACAGCTCACCATCAGCCCTGGACAAGCAGCTGTTGTCCCTCTGGCCTCCAAAAGAATCTTGTTCATAGTTTACTTTGGAAAATTTGGCTTGTAATTTGATTGCTTGCCTATTTATATCTACCCCTCTATTTTTCCTGTTTGATTTTGTTTGCTGAGGGTAGAGTCCTATGGTCTTCATCTTTTGTATTCACACACATCTCTCAATAAGACCTTGTGGGATTGTTTTACAGGACTTTGCATTATTAAATGATCATAATTATCAAAAATATCTTTACATTAACCTGCGACTTGATCCCGTCTGACTTCCAATCATGGATTCTTGTTAGGGTCTGTGAGAGTATTCGGGTTTAGATGAAGATTTCTTGTTTGTGACAGTCCTCAAAATAATTGAAGGGACTTAATATATACATCCTAATTTTGGTCTTTCTAGAGAAAACCTTATGTTCCTTTAACTCTACATTACCTTCTATCATTTCAAATCAGGTTATTACTCTTCAAGACTTGAACACCATTGTTTGAATATGCAGAAGTATTGACTCAGACTTCAGAGAACAAATAATCCACACTGTACACACACACACACACACACACACACACACACACACACACACACACACAAGTATGTATGTGTGCATGTGTGAATACATGTATGTATATTTGTTGTTGTAGAATAAACTTCTCTTGAGCCATATACCCCCATCCTACATTGTAAAATATCCAAATTCAGGACATTATATGCACTTATTTAATCTTATTTTGTTAGTGCTGACCTACCCTCATGAATCCTTTCAGCTGTATAAACCTCTGAGTGTAATATCATGTGTAAATGAGAAGATGTGTTCAATGAAAGTCAAAAGGGGGCTAGAAGGATCCAATTATATGCTAGTAGCAACTCTCCCCAGAAATCTACCCCTGGAGGGGTTGATGGAGTGGAGACAGGTACCTGCATGTCTTAAAAGTACCAATTAGGTGCACATACTTTGTTAATATTACTTTCTCATATTTGATCCTCACATATTCCACAAAAATATAAACTTATTTGCTCCCCAAGTATTTTCTCTGTCTTTCTTGATTTGCTAACAGATGGACTAGAAACTCCCATTATGTTGAACACATGTGGTTTTAAAATTATGTTGGTACACATCTTGGATTTGATAGTTTTAGGTAGAAGTGTCTTATCTTTTCAAGTCCTCTTAATTGTACCTTCTGTTTCTTTCTTAACCGCTACCTTCTCCATGACTTCTTTTGCTCATCGCTATGATGGATTCTATTAAGACCTCTGTATGTTTTTTTTTTTTTTTATGGCACGGGTGCAGAAGCAAATAATATGACGTCTTTCTGGAATTGATGTTTTGATTATCTTTTGTTCTAGGAGTTTCTCAACCCTTAGCTGATTCTCCAGATGGCTTAGATGTTGTGGAGCTTGAGGTATGCTATTATGCAGCATTGTGAGATTTGTATTTAGTCCCAGCCCTGAAAATATCATGTGGTTAATGTTCACTTAAAACTATTTTAAGATCAGATATTTGGCTGCAGCAGAAACTCACTGTGATTGCTGCATGGCCTCATTTAAGACATCCTGAGAGTTGGATTGAAATTCACTGCATTGTGTGAGGAGATAATTCGAGGTACAATGGAACAATTTTAGAATTTTAAACATGCTGTAAGAGATTCTACTGGCTAAAGAATTTATTCTTGTGTTTTATTTCTTTTCCTCATTTTGTCCTTTAGCGACTGGTATACTGTCTGAACCAGTGGGAAACACTTTCTAGCCAACCTAAGGTAAAAAAAAATACATACACTAGCTCTTGTAGTTATATCAGTATATATGTTTACATAACTGATGTTGAATAAATGGTTCTTTTGATGTCTACTAGAGAATGTTGTATATATGTGTATGTGTGTGTGTAAAAATACAGTTCTGGGAAAAATCAAGTTTCTCTCTTTGATATAAATTACCACAAAATAGTACTTCATATGTATTCTTAAGATTATATTATCTATATAATAAAATTAGTTATATGCTATGACATATATTATATATTATACACTGATGCATTATGGTGTAACAGCTCTCAACACAGTAGATCTCATGTAAGGACCATACCAGCAGAAACTATAGTAACTACAACAGAAGTGATTCAGTGAATACAAAGTCAATGCTGATTAACTGAAAATTTGAAAGAGTGGTCTTAGGATAGTTCACGATTCTCAGCACAGCCTATCAGTTTTCACCTTGAGTAACATTTCTTCTTCTCCACTCACTTCCCCTACCCACAGCATCATGCAGTCCAGCCACATCCAACATCTCACCGTTGCCCAGATACAGCAGACCCTTGAAATCTTTATACAGCCTTCTCTTTAGCCAGAAATGTCTCTGCTTTCCTCAGAGCCTGTCGTGACAGCCCAGGATCTCAACCGGAGCTGTCTCTGTGCCTTAGTTGTCTTGTCTGTTCCATGTGTGGAGTTGCTGTAATGGCTCCAGTCTCCCTGAGGAATGAATGCTTTAACTTCCATAAAGTGCTCTCAACAGCACCCACAGCACAGCAAACGACAGCCCCTAGCTGCGTCTTGTTGCAGCTATGTCTCATTCAAAATCCAAGTGCCACCTCCTCTCTCAACCTCATGAGGATATAGTACTTGCATCTTGTTTTCAATTTACCACTATGCGCATGTCTGGAGATGATTGTTAAACCATCTTTATAGTCTTAGTGTCTGGATGAAGCCTCAAAATGAGAACTTGGAGTCCCCCAACTCTTTTCCACCGCATCCCCACCTTGCACCACAGTGGCTTCCCTGCTTTTCACATGAAGGCTGTGGTGTCTCCCACATGAGCAGGGGATAGGAGAAGTGTGACTGTCCCACCGCCAGCTGCAGTATTCAATTGGATTGTGGGGTGTCCAGGCACAAGGACCTAGCTGGAATGAATTTCCATTTACCCTATTCATGTCCCCAGAGTCTATCACACCCATTGTTTTTGGTTACAAACAAATAAATAGTTGTTCAATGCACAAGAATGCCAACACTTTGAAATTATGAATAGAGAGCTAGCGCCTTTTCCTGACTTCCTTGTTGCCCCCAACTGTCCAGTGTTGGGATGAATTGGTGGAGCTCCCAATGCACCTGCTCCCCTGTTCTCCACAAACCCAGTTTTCGTTTGCAGGAGACTTCTGTGTTCAAACAATGCAGGAAGTGGTGGTATTCTACAACCAATGTCATCTGCAGAAACTCTTCAAGCACCGATTTTCTCTTTACCCCATGAGGTCAGAAGGAAGTTAGACAGGAAAAAGTTAACAGGTTCTGTGAATAGAGACCCATTTATTCCTTAATTCAGGAGAGATGCTTGAGAACATGTCACTGCTAGGTACCAGGGATGGAGTAATGCTCCACGCAAAACTACCTGCCCTCATAATGTGTGTATTATAGTTTGGGAAAATGAATGAAATGCTACATGAGTAAAACTTGATACATGTTTTTCTATGGAAAGAGGAAGGTAAGGATATGTATGAAATCTGGAGACCTTTGACTGGCAGCTGGAAAAGATTGAATAAACAACTTATTTTAATGAAATAGGGGAAAGGTTTTCCTCCCTAAGACTGAAAAGATAAGAAGAGATAAGTTGTAAAAGGCAACTTTATCTTAAAAACCTATGTCAACTGCAATCTTTTTTTTTTTTTTTTTTTTTTTTTTTTGAGAAAGGAATTTTCTCTGTAGCCCTGGTTGTTTCAGAACTCACTCTGTAGACTCGGCTGACCTGGAACTCACAAAGATCTGCCTCTGCTCCCTGAGTGCTGAGATTAAAGTCATACACTGCCATTTCCCATCTGTCAACTCCAATCTTGACTGTTTCATAATATTTGAGTAAATCCAGCCGGGTTCACAGTGTGACTTACACTGAAAACTTCATTAGATATCTGCTCCAGGAAAACTCCATGTAACTTTCTTCTCAATTCTCTTTCCAGGAAAACCAGGATATATACAAAAGGGTAAGTGCCTTGCAGTGCCTAATACAGACTCTTTACCCTGTTTGGATCTAGTGACACTTGTTGCTAATATCCTTTCTTATTTATCTAGTTTTTATTTCACTACTCCAGAACACAGAAGCCAAGGCATCCAGTTAACCCTGAGGTCAGTATTTTATTATGCCTTCGGTATAAATGATGCTCTTCTGCATACCTTTTATGCGTTCTGAATTTACATACATACACAGCCAAGTATTAGGCAGGGAACTCCCAGATACCCATGAGTGACAGGTCCCTACATGCATTCCCTCTCCCTGCCCAGGATGGCAAGAATTGTGTCTCTTTCTCATCGGGGACGGGAGTGGCGGGGGACTGACAGATCTGAAATATTAGAGAATAAACTGCAGGACAGAGAAATTAAGTAAGAAACCTGTTCTTGTTACCATGTACTTAAACAGAAGCGCAAGGAGAGCCTGTAAGCACTACACCCATTCCCACGGCTCCTTATTGCTTTCCACCTTTATATTTTGAAAAGTGCTGGGTGGTCCTCACAGTGCTGTCTCCCCCAAGGTGACCCACGCATGTCGTCTTCCGTGGCTGTCAGGGTGTAGATACACAAGGGGAATAGCAACAATCACCTCTAACTTGTGTTTACAGCTCTGGGGCGCAAATTCCAGGCCTTGTGCCTGGGAGACAAGCACTCGACCACTGAGCAACATCCCTGAGCCCGACTTTTTTTCTTTTACACAAGTTCTTGCTTTGTAGTCCAGGCTGGGCTCCCTCCTACTTCTGCCGCTAAGATTGCAGGTGCGTGCCATCACGCCCAGCTGACCTTCTTAAAACTCTTAGCGACCCTCGGGAGCAGCTTGGGTAGGTTAAATTCTGAAGGGTGGCCTTTGAGAAGCACTGGGAAGGTCATAACATCTAGATTTTAGTTTGGGTGCACTGTCACAGCAACTGAAATTCTACTGCGGGAAAGTCACTTATTTATATACGTATTATATATATATATATGTGTGTGTGTGTGTGTGTGTGTGTGTGTGTATTATATATAATAAGTATATAATATATGCTTATTATATATATAAGTCTTCTTCAAGATTGTCAAATACTCAGAAAAATGTTTCCCCCAAGAGGCAACGTCATTGATGCTGTAGGTCCAGGAATGGGATTAGATAAGGAGGGGCCAGCTACTGCCGAGCAAAAAGGAGCAAAGGAAAGGGAGAAGCCTTGGTTGCTTCAAAAGCAAAGCACCAGGGGAACCACGGGGGCTAGAAAAGGACAGATGCCCCTGCCTGCAGTGTGCAGGCAGGCGAAACCCAGTGGTGTGGGCTCTGACGCTCACCACCCTGGTACCTCCTCCCCAGCACCGTACATCTGAAGAGAGAGTTAGGATCCAGGGCAGCAGCTGCTTTGAGGCCAGGACAGAGTGCTTAGGGTTAACGTCAGTAAGCGACCGATTTCTCCTGAGGGAAGATTTCTAAGTGGTGTGTTGGAATTGAAACCTGTATCCAGGCAAGCAAGCTCTTTATTGGAAACATAAATGTTTTGAGCCTAGGCTCCGGAATTGATTTTACTCTGAAAATTAAACCCATTTGTAAGAAAGGCCAGTCAAAAAAGCATGCGCATAGCCCTGGGCTCTCAAATATGCGGCTGGAGTCAACAAGGTTACAGCTCCTCTCTGAGATGCCCCGGCCTCACAGCGTTTCTCTATTACAGTTTGCACCCGTGCATCCCTTGATGCGTCTGGCTGCCAAGCTGGCCAGCAGAAGGATGAAAAGATGGCCGCCTCCAGTACGTGCTTGTTTCTTCCCACCGTGGTACTATGGCTTAATGTGTACACGATGAAAAACGTGTTATATCACCTTGTGTGGCTCATTTGTGTCCTCTCCTTGAGTCCCAGTCTCCAGTTTGGTAGGGGTTGGGGGGTGCTGTGGGCAGAAACACTGGTCCCTTACCCTTGACCTTCCGGTCTGTAACCCCGTGTTGTTGTGACTGGAAGGGCCAAGGGAGGGACCCTGTGGCCCAGTCCCATCCCATCCCGTCCCTCTCTTCCTTTGCTTGGTTCACTCTAAGTTTTGTTTTGTTTTGTGTTGTTTTTCAATTCCGTCCTTTTGTCTCATCGTGAAATTTGCCCTCGTGATACTTCTCTGCTTCCTGTGGCCTTACCTGCCTGTTTTAAGGATTTTTCCCCCTTAAGTTCAGTAAGGACAGTTTCTATAATAGCTGATCCCTTTCAAACTGTTAATCAAAAAACTATTAATCACAGAGATCCACCTGGCTCTGCCTCCCGAGTGCTGGGGTTAAAGGCGTGAGCCACCACTGCCCGGCTCTAACTCCATTCTCAAACCAAGTTATAGCTGAAAACGAGTGGAGGATGCTAAGATCTCCTGACATTGAAAGTTTGCTTGAATTGGAAGTACATTTCGCAGTTGGGTTTATTCAGAGTTGTACACAAATTAAACGCAAACTGCAACACTGATTGAGTGAGCAAGCTTTCCTTCCAGAACTTGCAACTGGCCCCACTATCAGATTCTCCTCAACTGTTTTTTTGCATCTGTCTTCTGATGAGCTTAGAATGGAACCAGGAAGGGACACCATCACACGAGGGCAGCCGTGAGGTCATGGGTGGAGTTCCTGATGAATTAATTTATACTCCGTTTCTTTCCAGGACTCCAGGACTGCTGCTGTGGACTTCCCTAAGAAGGCATGTGAACCTTGTGAGAACACTGATTTCCAGAAAGCTCTAGAAAGGACAGGGAAGTGCCTAGAACCTGCAACTTTCCCAGTCTCATTTGGATAGGACAGATCTCCCCAGAGGATCCTGAATATCTTCTCTAAGCATTGAAGTTGGGGGATCCCTGGGCTTGTCCTGAGGTAGAAAGTGATTATGGAAAGACGGGGTTAATGTTTCACATGGTTAATATTTCATTTCTAGTCTCTCAGATGAGTCGCTTCGGCCATCTGTGACTAGGGACTTGTCCTCTCTGGTTCAGGGACCCACATGCCATTATGCAAACTTAGAGAGAGGAAAAATACTTCTGCCAGTGTCAACCCCATAAACCAGGGAATCGCAGACTTGAGCATGCCTTAGAATCTGGTTAAAATTGGGATAGCTGGGCTCTACCCTGAGATTTAATAGATCTGAGGTGGACTTTGAGAATTTTCACTAATAACAAGTTCCCCAGATATCTTTATGCTGCTGGTCTGGGACCATTCTTTTTGAAAACTTCTCCAAGGATGTTTCTTTGACTTAGAATGTGATTACATAACAGTTTGTGTTTTTGTGTTGCAGGATCCCACTACCACCTTGGGGAGGCCATTTTTCCTTTTCAGGGTATAACAGATTTCCTTGTTTCTGTTTCTAATTGTATTCCCTGTTGTCATCTCAACTGCCAGGACCAGATGGGTACTGTTCTCTCCCCCATTTAGGGTGTGACTCAGTCAAAAATTCTTACAGACTTGCAAGGGAAACAGAGCAACAAAGACGTAGCCTGAGCATGTCCATATTCTAGGAGCTTGGAGAGCAAGGGGGAGGGACTTCTGGTGATGGACAGATACTGGGTAAACCAGAGTCCACAATCCCAAGCGCTACATTCCTGGATATGTGACCTAAAACCACAATGACACAAGGAGTCCAAGTGCCATCTTCTTTCCCAGGTGACAGAAAGGTCCTTGCCAAGGTCATGCAGTTTCTAATTGTGTTCTATTCACTAACTGCACACAAGGCCTTAGCTTCTCAATATTTGCATAAAAAAATGAGTGAATCCGACTTAATCCATGACTACTCCAAGCTGTATTCTGTGGATCACTGGTGCTAGTATCCTGCAAAAGATAACACAAGATTAGAAGATGCATCTCTTAGTCTTCCTGACAATCCGCAGCACGCTCTGGCCCACTGAGGGCTCTGGGAAATGTCATGGAAAATCCCACCTATCTCCTTTGTTTCCCTAACATCTTTGACTATGGAAATCCTTATCACCTGTCCCCAGTTTCTACCTTTTCCATTTTCCTGACCTACAAAAAAAGTGTTGTTTTCTGGAAAGAACTCTGAGAATCAGTAGATCACTCTTCTGTCTCCAGGCTGAGAAGTCTGGAAAGTAGAAGATCTCACCATGAGCTAAGTCTAAGGGAGAAGGTGGGATGGAGAATAGGTGTCATGTTCCTGGGAGCGGTAAGGGCCTAGATTATTGCCCAAGAGGACGGATGAACTTGCCGTGTAGGTCTCTGAGGATGGAGTGAGGACTCAGTTAGAAAAACAAGGTCTTTGGGTCCAGTACAGAAAAAAGTCCAAGCGGTTGTATCACAATATTTTTAAGACTTTCTCCCTCGCCTTTCTTGTTTTTCAGCCAAGGAATGGAAGATTCATTGACAACAAGGTCCAGTAGACAAAGCAAGGTTAGCTTTGTTGCAGATTCTCTCTTCCAAGCAAATGTGCTATGTCTGACCTGGAGGTATTAGAGGCAGAAGGTGGGGTGCTATTGTTCAAACAAAAGACTCCCCCCCTCCACAGCACCGCAGACTCCAATCCAATCTGGCAGAAGCTAGCTGTTCCAGCAATGTTATATCCTTTGCTTTTACATATGGTTTTGAGAAGTTTCTCATTTCTGGACAGAGTTGTGATAGACATTAAACCTCCTATGGCCCGAGTTGCCCCTCCCCACTTGACCCTTCCAGTGAAGAGAATGCTACCCTGGTATGTTGAGGTGGTACTCCAAGGAGGCCTTCAGACAAGAAAGTCCATGCAGAGGGGCAACTCTAGCCTGCTCCGTCTCTCCTGAGGATCTGGCCTTATGAAAGTATAAACATTATCTATTACCAGCATCAGAGCCCTAGCAGTCCAAGGTGCCTGAGGAAGCTGCCATCATCCTGGAGGTGGAACTATCCAGCAAAAACAGGAGTAAAGTGTTGCTCAAGGCCAAACAATTTATATAAATCCAATAGCCTAATTAGCCACCAAAAATAAATATCATGAGGACCAACCAAAAGGAAAACAATGTAGGCATTTGTGACATGTCATATCACTGTGTAACTGTAAAATGTGTCTATCATAACTTGGACTTGGCCCTCAGCTTGATCCTGAGGATGGCTGCACTTACACGGAATACATTTTTTGTTTTGCAGGATCCAATTGAACAGAAGAGTTTGGATCTGTGGAGGAAATGCCAAGTTGCTTTATGTGTATATTTAATGATATTTCTGTTGTTCGATGCTCTCCAAAATACATTGTATAAAAAAAAATGAAGCATCACTGATATAACATCTTTATTTTTGTTGGAAGGCTGTGGGAATAGGTACATTGCATGAATAATAGACTTCTAAGGAATTACTGACTTGGGGATGAAGCAAGCTAACTTGATAACTGAGCACATAGATTTAGGATAACTAAGATCCTGGGGTCAGATCCTAACTCTTGTTTGCTTTCTAGCTTGGTGACTCTGATATGCTAGTCAGATTTCCATTTCTGTAATAAATACCTGATGTATATTACTTCAAAGGAGAGAAGATTTATTTGGGGTCATGGCTTCCTTCCACGTGGCCTTCTTGGTCCGTTGCTTTGGATCTGTGGCTTCAAAGTATGTCATGGTGAAATACATGACAGAGAAGGGTTATTTACCTGCCTCGTGGCAGATGGGAATCAAGAAGAGGGTGGGGACAGGGTCCCAATAACTCCTTAGAGGGCAAGTCTTCCATGATCTAAGTTCCTCCCACTAGGTTCCACTTCTAAAGGTCCCACTATTTCCTTGGGGTTCCACAGACTAGTGACCAAGTCTTTAACTCAGGAGTCTTTGGATAGGAATATTCCAGAGCCAAACTGTAGCACTTGGGTCACTCACTTTCATTCCTGTGCCTTGGTTTCCTGCTTGGTAAAGTAGGATTTGTAAAATACCTTCTTCTTGAGATTGATTTTGTGAAAGCTTAAGAGATGATCCATAGAAGGTCATGGAATTGTCGTTGTGCATGTGTTGGCTCTATTTTTACTTGAAAGATGATCTTCATTCCGTGGTACATACAAGGCACTTGCCCCATACACAGCCACTTCCCTGTTGTTGACATCAAGATGTTAAGGAGCAACAACTCCAAATTGCTTGAGAACTATGGGACCTAGACCCTTATTTCTCAGGCTCCTTCTCTGTGAATATCCCGGAGACCATCAAACATAGCATAGGGTGGTGCAGGAGAGGTATGGCAGCATGAAGGGCTTCTGTGCTACTGACCACCTTCTTTTAGTTTCTCCTGCTCCTCTTCAAATATTAAAGTCTTCCTTTGGAACATCTTAGAATTATGACTTCATTCTTAGCATTTCTAGGCCTTTGTTCTAAGTCTGAGGCCTACTTTCTGAAATAGAGTATTTGAAGACTCCGCCAAGTAGATCTCAAGACATGAGATGGCATGATAGGAAGAGATGAGCAAATCAATCTTCACCTGATATCTGCCAGTGAGGGTGCAAAGCCATGTTCAATGAGGTGTACCATTTGAGTTGAAAGTTCTCTCGCCAAGCCCTCTCTGGTGATGCAGAGTAGGAATGGACTTTATCTCCACATACAACCTTTTGTCCACAGCAGTCCAGCAAGGATCCACCAGTGCCCCCATACCCCGCCACCAAACAAAACAAAAACAAAAACAAAAACAAACAAACAAACAAACAAAAACAGACTTGAAACTAGACCAATCATGCATGCTTCTGTGCCATGGAACTGCTTCTCTCCAAAGAGAGACCTTGGGCCTGTGCATGTGCCCCTTCTAACTAGTTTGAGTGCTAGGCCCAGATAAAGTCGTGCATGGAGAATGTCCATCTACTCAGCACTGACATCCATCATACCTCAGCTCACTGTGTGGGACCACTGTAGCCCTCTGCTAATGGGGGTGTGTCCAGCCAGGGAAGGATGACAAACAGGATTCTTAGAACCTTGCAGCAGGCAGAGGATTCATTGCTCATCTAGCTCTGCCTTCTCACAGGCTGCTAAAGGAGAGTCCAGAAAGGCTAAATGATTGGTTAAGGCCTCAACAGTGGATGGCAGCAAGCCCAGAGCAGAGGTCTTGGTATTAAGCTGAATTGCGTTGATTATTCTGATGTTCTTACCTTCAGTTAGAATCTTGAGACTTTCTTAATGAGTCCACGAAACTCGGAGGCTTGAAACAGTATTTATTCTTGTTTGTAAAAGGTTTATTTTACGTGTATTAGTGTTTTGCTCGCATGTATGTATGTGCACTACATGCATGCCTGGTGCCTGTGGATGTCAAAAGAAGCTATAGAATCTCATAAGACTGGAGTTACAGATGCTCCTTAGCTGCCATGTGGGTATTGGGAAACAAACCTCCCAGAGCAGTAAGCACTCTTAACTACTGACACATCTCACCAGCTGCTAAATTTGTTCTTTTATTATAGCAGGTACTTAGAAGTTGCTTCGCTAAAAGCACTGACTCCTCCCTTCAGGCCCACAAGATAACTGAAAGTACCCCTGCTTTCATTTTGCGTCTCTCTTTGTCTCTGAACACAGATATGATGGTTATTCAAGGAAGACTACAGGGGCTGCAGATGTATATACACCCCGCACCTGGGAAGCAAGAGTCAGAGGATCAGGGATTCAAAATCATCCTTAGTTATACAGTGAGCTCAAGACTGGACTGCATGAGACCCTGTTTCAAAACAAAACAAACTTGTGAGGCAGAGGCAGGCAGGTAGATCTCTGGAAGTTAGAGGGCAGCTTTGTGTACATAGAAAGTTCCAGGACAGCCAGAGCTACATAATCAAGAGACCCTGTCTCAGAAAACAAAACAAATCAAAACAACAACAGAAAAACCCCAAACAATCGAAAATCATTTAAGAAGTGTCTATCTAAAAAATGATACTGACACCTGACCTATCTCATTTCTCTTCAAGGCTCAAGGCTGAAAGCATAAACATAAGTGTAGCAGCATCTACAATGTCTTGTTTCAGAATCCCCAGAAGGCATCCAAGGTTACCAGTTGTCTTAGTTCCCTTTATATTGTGGTGACCAAACACCACAATGAAGGAAAGTTATAAAAGAAAGCATTTCATTGGGGCTCACAGTTTCAGAGGACTGGAGTCCGTGACTGTCATGGCAGGGAGGATGGCAACAGGTAGGCAGGTAGGCATGGTGCTGGAGCATTAGCTGAGAGTTCACATCTTGATCCACAAGCATGAGGCAGAGAGACCTAACTGGGAATTATGGAATCTCAAAGCCCACCTCCAGTAACACACCTCCTCTAACAAGGGTACAACTCCTAATCCTTCCTAAATAGTTCAACCAACTTGGGATTACACATTCAAAACACATGAGCCTGTGGGGACCATTCTCTTTCAATCATACCAGTCATTGCCCTAAACCTGCAAGTCACCTTGGGTTCTAGAAATTGCAGAACTTCTTGATGGGCTATCTCTATGATGGTATCACCCAAGCAGGGGTAATCATCTCATGGGAATCAACTTGTCACCTCTAGCAACAATGACTTCTTCAAGCCACCTTGCAGACCCAGAACTGAGATAATGATTAACCAGGCCAGCCATACTGTAAGCAGTGCCTCTTGTACCCTGCCCAAAATATTCTTCTATTTAAGCCTAAATCTTACATCAGTGCCCTAAAGGTGAACTTAGGGTCACTGCACCCTTTTATCTGTGATGGTTAATTTAAATTGTCAGTTTGGCAGGGTCTAGAATCAACTGGGAGATGAGTATCTGGGCATGTCTGTGTCACATTATCTTATGTTAAGTGAGGTGGAAAGATCTACCCACTTTGGGAGGCAGCATTCCCTAGGCAGGGCAGCCTGACTCTGTAAGAGTAGGGGAAACACGCTGAGAACTAGGATGCATGTGCTTGTTCTCTTCTTTTGGCTGAGGATGTAACATAATGGACCAGCAGCTTCCAGCTCCTGTTGCCTTGGTACAAGTGTTTACAGTGAAAGGGTTAGGACCACTGGCTCTGGAGTCAGAATGGCTAAGTTTGAATTCTGACTTGAGATCCTACTCAAGTTACTTAACCTCCATCTTTGCTCTGTCCCCAGCTTAATCTCCTCACCTTTGGAATGGGGACATGGGGCAGTAATACCAACACTCATTTAGTGCCTTCTTTCTGTAGTTCAAATAAGGTAATGTATACCAAAGGCCTAGCATAGTAAGAGCACATAATAAAAAATAAATATTAGCTACAGATAATAATAAAAATAACAATAATGTCTAAAACAGTGATTCTCAACCAGTGGGTCATGGCCCCTTTGGGGGTCAAACCATTTTGGGGGTCAAACAACTCTTTCACAGGAGTCACATCAGATATCCTATAGATCAAATATTTACATTAAGATTCCTAACAGTAACAAAATTACATTTATAAAGTAGCAATGAAAATAATTTTATGGTTGGGGGTCACCACAACGCAAGGAACTGTATTAAAGGGTCACACCATTAGGAAGGTTGAAAACCACTGGTCTAAAGCTTCCCTTCTTAATAAAACTTCTGTGGTTATATAAATATTTGGTATCTGTACTGCCCAACATGATAGTTGCTAATGTGGATGAGGAATGAAAATTTTAATTTATTTTAAATTTTTAACATTTTGTGCATATGGATGTTTCTCCTGCATGTATGTCTCTGCATCATGTGTGTGTGTTGCTCACAGAGGCCAGGAGAAGGCATCAGATCCCTCAGAACTGGAATTACAGATGGTTTTGAGCCACCATGTGGGTGCTGGGAATTGAACCAGGGTCCTATGGAAGAATAGTGCTCCATAACCATTGAGCCACCTCTCCAGCCCCAGTAGAGAGAATAACATAAGAAAGACAGGAAAGTGGGACTATGCAGGGAAAGTTCAGTAACAAAAAGTTTGGAGTGACCATAGAATAGAGGGCATGGCATCTCAGAGAGAGAGAGAGAGAGAGAGAGAGAGAGAGAGAGAGAGAGAGAGAGAGAGAGAGAGAGAGAGAGAGAGAGAGGGAGAGAGAGAGAGAGAGAAAAGAAGAAGAAGAAGAAGAAGAAGAAGAAGAAGAAGAAGAAGAAGAAGAAGAAGAAGAAGAAGAAGAAGAAGAAACCGACCTGTGCCCAAAGTCCACCTTTACATCTCACTACTTGCTTCTTGTTGAAAAGCACATCATTTTGTGCTTCCGTTTCCTGACCATTTCTATGAGCCCAGTAGTGGAAACTACCTGATTGGATTGTTCTGAGAATTAAATGCTTTATTATTTATATGTGCGTGTTATCCGTGGGGGGTGGGGGGTGCGCGCACCCTGGGTTCTGGCGCTCAAGCTCATGTCCTGACGCTTACACAGGAAGTACTTTCCTATCTCCTCATCACTCAATGCATTGATTTTTGAGAAGAATCTGAACATTGCTGACACTTCATGTGCCCTCAGTGTTTGTTGATCATCTTCGCTGTTGTT